TTGCTTAATTGCACAATATAGAAGGTGCTGACCTGCTTTATCACAAGGACTCTTGACTCTCGTGTACTTTTCTCTTCATTTTAGTTATTTTATTGCCTTTTGTCACATTCACTTAGCATTCCATATAAGGATGTATTTCTAGATTTTAATTCCCATTTTATCCATTTTTTCCCCCTACAAACATGGCATTTAAAAGCTAAAGGCCAGGGGCACCTGCGTGGCTCAGTCAGTTGAGCAGCTGTCTTTGGCTCAGGTCATGATCCCAGGGTCCTGGGGTCAAGCCCCAAGTCAGGCTCCCTGCTCAGTGGGGAGTGTGCTTCTCCCTCTCTCTCTGCTGCTCCCCCCACCCCCTGTTTGTGCTTTCTCTCTCTCAAATAAATAAATAAAATCTTAAAAAAATAGCTAAAGCCCATTTAAGCACTTTGTATGAGGGAGAGAGTTTGTGTCCATGAAATGTACAATAACTGGTGTATATTTTCTGCAAGAACAAAACACATAGATTAGCAGCCACTGTCATTACCTTCACTAAAAAGAGATAACAGCAACAATAGCTGCATAAATTGGTGTACAACTCTGGACAATGATTTTGGCAATATTTCAGTGCCATCAAATGGCTTATTTCCTTCTTTTGATTCTACTTTTTTTTAAATGTTTTATTTATTTATTCATAAGAGTCAGAGAGAGAGAGAGGCAGAGGGAGAAGCAGGCTCCCCACCTAGCAGGGAGCCTGATGTGGGGCTTGATCCCAGGACCCTGGGATCATGACCTGAGCCGAAGGCAGACGCTTAACCATCTGAGCCACCCAGGAGCCCTTGATTCTACTTTTGAGAATCTATTCTAAGGCCATAATCTATATCTTCCTATATTTTTACACAGTGCATGAGGAAAGCTCCTTTACACACAGAGAGGCAGCATGGCCCAGTGGTTAAGCCAGGGCTCAATTCTGACTCCACCACTAGGCTAGATGCATGATATTGAGCAAGGTACTTAAATGCTGTGCCTCGGTTTCATCATCTTTGATATGGAGATAATCTTCATTTACTGTAGGGTCTTTATGAGGATTAAATGAGGTAATAAGTGTAAATCACTTCCACTAGTGAATTTAAAAAATGCTCACTATTACCATTATTATTGTCATAACAGGACAATTATAATAGCAAAAACAAGAACAAGAAAAAGGAAGAGCCCCAATGCTCCACAATATGAGATTGGTTGCATGAACTCTGGTCTATACACTCAAGGGAAAAGTCATTAAATTTCATCACAGTATACACAGTGTAGCACAGGGACTAAGTCCTACAAGCATTAGATGCAATCTGGACTTCATTATGAAAAACACATAAGATACACACTGGGTAACATTTTAATATCACAAAAATTGGAATGTGTTTTATAGGTCAAGGGCCTGTCACAGTTTAATGGGTAGTGTGTGATGCATCTTATATTTGATGCAGTTTGTGGTTGGTAGAATGATAACCTTCCAAAGATGTCCATGTCCTAATAGCCAAAATCTGTCAATGCTACCTTCTATGGGAAAATGAACTTTGTAGATGGGATTAAATTAAGGAGTTTGAGATGGGGAGATTGTCCTGGATTATCCAAATGAACTTGATGTAATCACAAGGGGCCTTATAAGAAAGAGGCAGAGGGGTTTAGAGTTGGTAGTAGAAGATGTGATGACAGCAGAGGTTGGAATGATTAGAAGGGGCCAGGAGTCAAGAAATGCATGCAGCTTCTAGCAGCTGAAAATGGTCAACAACTTCTCCTGAAACCTCTAGAAGGAACTAGCTTTGCTGACACCTTGACTAATTCTAGACTTCTGACCTCCAGTGAGACTAATGAGCCCAGTGAGACTAATTCTGGACTTCTCACTTCCAAACCTGTAAGATAGATAATAAGCATGTGTTATTTTAAGCTCCTAGGTTTGTGGTAATTTGTTACAGCAGCAATAGGAACCTAATACATAGTCAAATTGGGTACAATAAGGCTCTTTTTTACTTCTAGGCAATGTTAGGCCCTCAGTGCTTCCTGAATACCACTTGACAGCATAAGAGGCAATCAATAAAAGCTACTGAATGAACACTGAATGGAATAGTATACAGCTATCAAAATGTTTACAAATGGAAAATATGTTATTTAAAAAAATAATAGTTTGAATTTCAGTCAAATCACAGTTAACTAAAGTGGGAATACACCAAATTCTGCATATAAAAATTCCAGCAGAAAAAAATTAAAAATAGTAATAGTGACTGTTTCTGCACGTTGGCACTGTAAAGATGACCTCTCCTTTTTCTTCTTTACATGTCTGCAAATTTTCTATAATGAACAGGTATTGTTTTCATAATGGGAGAAGGCACATCAATTTCACTTAAAAAGTAGATAGCAGTATAATGAGGAACATGAAAAGCAATTTACACAATATTGGTAAATTCAATCTCTTTATGCACCAATGACTCTAATTTAACTAGTAATTTAAAACCTTCAAATTCCTGGGTCTAGCATGTCAGTAACTGTTAAGTCATGAAGGGTCTGTGTTTTGCAGTTGTCAACATGGGTCAGCTTTAATAATAGTAAAGCTATGATTATCATCTTCAAAAATCACCCGCTGACCAGCCACTGTGAGCTGCATGGGGACAGCAAGCAGGGTGTCAAAGAGGAAGTGATTTATGCAGAAATTGGCAGTCAACCCAATGGGAAGGAAAAAGGCAAAGGGAAGAAAAGCTCAGGAACCTGCGGAATGATTCTGCTTACTTGAGTGTGAAAAGACAAGAGAGTTCTTCCTACAATTATGGCCCTTTGACTTTGGAGAAATCATTCCACCACTCTGAGCTTCAGTCTCTTTCTTTGTGTTATGAGGGCATAGAAAGAAATCTCTAAGATGAATGCCCAAAAACCCCACAGAAAACAAAACCCAAAAAACCCTTTCACTGTTCTTCAGTCTCAATCTGTATTTACACAGGGATTGCTATGCACTGATGTGAACTAGGTCCTCTGCACTGTGCAACTTGCCAATTCCATCACCATCAGATATTTCACAGTATCTTCTTTTTTACAATGTCAGAAAATAGACTGCACAGTGCATTTAAAGCCTTCAGTAAGTAAGGGTTATAGCAGCAGGCTGATGTCTGGTTAGTTACTGAAGCTTTGCAGCTTGTCACTTGTCAGCTGTCTGAAGAATGCATTCATGACTCAAGAAAGTTTCCTACTTTCTTCCATGAAAAGCAAGCATATTAGCAAAACTTAAAAACAGCTTTACAACTAAATGAAATGCTTGATAATGTCATAATTATTATGATTTTAAATGGGGATGCCATTTCCGGAATACATCATATGTAAAATTTTAACGGAAGTGCAAAATGTCAAAGGATTTTTTTTGCCAGAAAATACTGATGGAATACCTCTTATTTGAAGGAAACTTTGTTTTAATCCTAATCTTAAGGAACTTTTAAGTCAGTAGGGGGGAATAAATCATATACATAGTTAAGTCTAATGTGAAACAGAAAGGTAAATGCCATAGAAAGACACAGGTAAATCATGATGGACAGAATTTCTGAGGAGGAAGAGAGATTATGTCCAGCTGTCCAGACAGAGATAGTTCAGGGAAGCTTATAGGGTACATGGTATCAAAGGCTGTTCGGATCCTGAACTCAAGAATTGGGGTGGAAGGGGAGGGCTTTGTTGGTGGAGGAAACAGAATGAGCAAAGTCTCAGTGGCATGGAAAATTTGGAGTGTGTATAGAGAAGAGTAAAAAGTGAAATTTGATGGTATTATTATCTCCAGGTGGAAGATGCATGAGATAAAGATCAAAATGATGGACAAGATCTAGAAGGCCAAGGCCTTGAATGCTGACCTAAGGAGACTGCACGTTATTCTACAGACAGCTGAGAACCATATAGGATTTTTGAGCAATTATTTAGTTGATTAACACTCATCTCTCCCTATTATAGGGGACAAAGATAATCCTGCAGTTTAAAATTTATTATAATTTCTCACTCAACACGTGAACAAAATTCTAAGCAACCTTTTCGTACATCACCCAATGAATTAGAAAGGATTTCAAATTTTTGGGTTTGAAACTCTAAGGGGGAAGATTTCCTCCATTGCTTTACTATTTATTTGGGGTTGGAAGAGCAGTAGCCCCATTAAGATGTTGGAATGAAAGCTGCACACATGAAGGTCCCAGGAATTCCAACTGTCTGGGGCACAGAATGTGACAAGAACTTTATTCACTGCCCTACCAGCATCCCAATTTCAGGCCTTCTGGACATCAGGGCTTGGCTTTGGACCCTTAAGCACAGCCCTTGATCTTCCTACCTGATTGTTCTTGGGAACTGGCACTACATCTCCATTCTGTATATGAAAACAGAACACCAATTCAGCACAGTGTTCCCTTTGTGGCTGAGTGTGTGTGTGTGTGTGCATATGTGCATGCACATTCATATGTAAACGTATAAATATACACACATTACACAAAATGGTGATGGCACATACCATTATCTTATTGTTACACCTGTTATAGCTTATTGTTATTTTGTAGTGAAAGCTATATTTTCCCTAAATGGTTTGTGAGCATCTTGAAAGCAGGCCCACCATATTGTATTATGAATCCAGCCAATACTCAATTAGTATTTACTGATCAATATATTTAAGCCAAGTCCTGCAGCCTCCAGCACATGGTGAACTTCCCTTCTATGATCAGGTGAACAGCTGGTTAACACATTTGGTCTAACAGGACAGAAACGTGATGGTTTCTATTTTTCTTTAGATCTGCAAAAGGCAAGATAGCTTATTTCTTTAAAAGCTCCTGAGATAAATGAACTTATCATATGAAAGCAATCTACCAATATGTGCGTGTGTGTGTGCGTGCATGTGTGAAACCCGCCTGCTTGCAACTGCAAAATGCAGAAGTCATGTGCTGAATATTAAATACAGGTGGTGTTAGCAAATGCACAGAGTTCATCAATCAGCATGGTTTTCATGTGTTATGCCTGATACTTACCTCAATAAAGAAAATGCTGGCTGCTGACGTTGGATGATGATACATATAGACGGTCACGAGAATGGCTGCTACTATAATGAGGACCAGGATGAGAATTCCAACAATGAGGCCAGCATGAAGGGTGCCCCCTTTCTTCTCGGCTGCACTGTCATCTGTAGAAGCTGAAAGAACAGCACAGCTGTCAGAACATTCATGTGTGTGCTTTTAGGTTTGCATTTTCATTACAGGGGATGTTTATAGTTTTAATAAAGTACCATTAGAGTTTTTTCTTTTACTTTCTGTACAACTCTTCCTTTCCATGACACCAATTTTAGAAGTTAGATACTCTTCATTTGGGCAATGAAAATTTCATGTTATTAATGATTAAAAATACTTTGTAATTGTGTTTTAATTTATAGTTCAATAAACAAAATTAGCAGCCTTTATTCTAAAAGTACTATGGGAAATCTAAAACTCTAATTAACTATATAATAAATTTAGCTTTGATTTTTCTCATTAAACCACTCGTACTTTTACCTATGGAAAAATTGATTACTGTTTGAAAGTTCCTCTCACATTTTCTTCTGGAAATTTTATATTGAAGAGTATAATGCTTCTTTTGGTGGACTAGATAGGCATTTTCAGAAAGTCTATGCATGAGTTCAAAGGCTAGTTTTCAAAATCTGTTTTAAACTGAAATGCTCTTTAAAAGAGTAACAGATGGATGCTAAATGACCCTCAAATAGTTTTATCACCATCTGAGGAGAACACATAGCATATCAAAATATTCCACTATGCCACAAACCAATATCATTTGGTCTGACTTTTACTGAGACGTTTTCCACTGTAATACCCATTTTCAGAGAATCAGGAAAAAGAAATTAGATTTCTAAAGTAATAATTATCCAGCCCAAAGTCAGTCAACCAAATAAAGCTAATCTCTAAAGTCTTCTCTTGTTCTAAAATTCTGCAATCTTCGATGACTACTCAGGTATTTAAAGATCTTAAATTATGTGCTGCAGGTAACCATGTTTATGTGCATACTATGATTGATATTTTTGAACCATTAGAAAATTACTTAATATTCATAAAAGTTCTACAGCAGTGATTCCTAATCTTTTCATTACTAATTTGCATCTTTGTTTTAAACATTATTTTTATCTGTTGAACCGTATTTAAAAAGCACTGATTTATTTCTCTTATTTTAGATTTTTGCTAATAAAAAGCAAACATGACTGCTTCTCAGAATGTGCGGTCAATGTGAAATAACAGAATTCCAGATAAAGCAAAGAAACATGACTTCCCAATTCTTGCAGCCCATCTTTTACATTTTTTGTTGTTATTGTTTGTTTATTATCTGCTTGAGACCCATAGTTGGTGTTTGGTAATTCTTCTCCAAATCTAATAAAGCTCAATATCCTAAAGCTTTCCCTTACATAACTAAAATTCATTATTGAAAGAATATACAATTTAAACAGTAATTCATTCTATAAAACTTCACTCACAGAGAGGGTTCTGGGAAGAAGGAAGAGTATGAAGTATCAGGAATCTGTCTCCCTATGTAGACAACAATTGCACTGGCAGAATGTGTCTGACAACTATCTTGGCACTTTGGACTCTGTCAAAGGCTTGCAACTTTCAGGAGAAAGGCTTGTGCTGTAAATTGTGGTTAATTTCAGTCAATGTCAACTCTTAGCATAATAGTGGCTACCCATCCTCCACCCCTCAGTCATGTGGCAGGCAGCTGCACATATGTTCCTGAAGTAGCCTGCAGGAGCCAGGGCAGGCAAAAAGTACCCTGTCCTCCAGAGATCAGGGATCTGTGTTCTGACCACTGATTGGTTCTTCTCATCACAGAGGCACAAAGATGGAGCCATTGGTTTCTGGTACCTTCCTCCATTGTTGCAAGCCCTTCCCCCTCTGGCTGAAGTAACTTCCAAGGGATTTAAACAGCCAGGGCTCTTTTTAACCTCCCCCACTTCATTCTTCTCTTTTTCCACTTTTGGGAGCTAGACAGTAAAGACTAGGACATTCAAAAACAACTGTATGTATGGGGGAAAATTAGACAGTATGCATATGCCCAGAAAATGGCTCAGAAAAGAATTGAAAAGACATTAAGATTATACCTCAGGCTGATCCTCAGCATAGAGACAGTATGCAGCAGCAACAACAACAACAACAACAAAGAAGACAATCAACAATAACAAAAATAATATCAAAAAGCAGCAAGCCCTGGGGAAGGGCAGGGGGAGAATCTGATTTCCGGAGTTACCACATTATTAGATTCAAATGTCCAGTTTTTAACAAAAATTCACAAAATATGCAAAGGAACAGGAAAGTATGGCTCATTCAAAGGAAAAAAAAATCAACAGAAACTGTTCCTGAAAAAGAACTGATGGCAGTACAATAGAGTTTAAAACAACTGTCTTGAAGATGCTCAAAGAATCAAAAGAAGATGGGGAGAGAGTCAAGAAAACAATGTGTGAACAAGATGGAAATATCAATACAGAGATAGAAAACCTAAAAAGAAAGCAAAAAGAAATTCTGGAGCTGAAAAATACAATAACTGAAATGAAAAATTCACGAGAGGGATTCAAAGGCAGATTTGAGCAGGCAGAACAAAGAACCAGTGGACTTGGAAGACAGGACAGTGGAAATCATTGACTTTGAGGGACGGAAAGAAAAAGAGCCAAGGGGCCATCAAGTAGATCAACATGCACACTGCGGGAGTCCAGGAAGGAGGGACAGAGAGAGGGGCAGAGAGAATATTTTAAGAAATAATGAACAAAAACATCCCAGATTTAATGAAAGACATGAATATAAACAACCAAGAAGCTCAAGGAACTCCAGTAAGATGAAGTCAAAAAGACCCACACCAAGATGCATTATAACCAAACTTTTGAAAGACAAAGTCAAAGAGAGAATCCCTAAGATAACAAGAAAGAAAATAGCTATAATCCAGACAACAGGCAAGGAATATTTATTTATTTATTCATTCATTCATTTATTTGAGAGAGAACGAGAGAGTGGGGGGGGGAGAGGGAGAGAGAGAATCTCAAGCAGACTCCACACTGAACATGGAGCCTGATGCGGGGCTCATTCTCACTACCCGAAAAGATCTGACCTGAGCCAAAATCAAGAGTTGGACATTTAACTGACTGAGCCACCCAGGCGCCCCTGTTTATTTATTTATTTGAGAGAGAGAGAGAGAGAGCACAGAAGCCAAGGAATTTAAACGTTCCCTACAAAAAAATCAACTAAACATGAAAGAAGACAGTAATGCCGGAGGCACATAGAAACAAATAGCAAAAATGTTGGAATTAAACCCCTCCTTATCAGTAATTGTTTTACATTTAAATGGATTAAAGTCTCCAATCAAAAGACACAGAATGTCAGAAAGAATAAAAACACATGATCCAACTATATGCTGTCTATATGATACTAACTTCAGATACAAATATTGTAAGTGAAAGTATAAAAAAAATGTTCCATGCAAATAGTAACTAAAAGACAGCAGAGGTAACTATACTAATGTCAGACTAAATAGATTTTCAATCCAAAAGGTTATGAGACAAAGAAGCACATCAAGTATTAATAAAAGGTTTCAATACAGTAAGAAGATACAACAATTATAAACATCTACGTAGCTAATGACAAACCATCAAAAAATATGAAGCAGGGGCGCCTGGGTGGCTCAGTCGTTAGGCGTCTGCCTTCGGCTCAGGTCATGATCCCAGGGTCTTGGGATCGAGCCCTGCATCGGGCTCCCTGCTCCACCGGAAGCCTGCTTCTCCCTCTCCCACTCCCCCTGCTTGTGTTCCCTCTCTCGCTGTCTCTCTCTGTCAAATAAATAAAAATCTTAAAAAAAAAAATATGAAGCAAAAACTGACAGAACTGAAGGGAGAAACAGACGTTCCTGTAATAATAGTTGGAAATTTCAATATCCCACTTTCAATATTGGAAAGAACAACCAGACTGAAGGTAAGTAAAGAGAGAGGACTTACCACAATAAACCAACTAGATTGAACAGACATATACAGAACATTCTACCCAATGACAACATACACATTCTTCTCAAGTGTGCATGGAAGACATTTTAGGGTAGACCATATGTTAGGCCACAAATTAAGTCTCAACAGGTGTAAAAAATAGATATCATACAAAGAAGTTTCTCCATCCACGGTGGGATGGAGTTAAGAAATCAGTAACAGAAATAAAACTGGAAATTCACAAATTTGTGGAAATTAAGCAACACACTTTTGACCAACGAATGTATCATCATTAAATCACAAGGGAAATTAGATTTGAATGAAAACAAAAACACAAAAACCAAAACTTGGGCACTACAGCAAAAGCAGGGCTAAGGAGAGAATTTATAGCCATTAATGCTTACAGTAAGAACAAGAAAGATCTCGAATCTATGACCTAACTTTACAAGTTAAGGAACTAGAAGAAAAAGAACAAATTAAACCCGAAGTTAGCAGAAGGAAGAAAATAATCAAGATGAGAGCAAAGACAAGCAAAATAAAGAATAAAAAAATAATAGAGAAAATTAATGAAAATTGGTTCTTTGAAAAAATCAACAAAATTGGAATGGGGACTCACACACTAGCAGTCTAGCCTCAGAGTCTGCACCCTGAGCCTCTGATCACTAACCCCTCAACTGACACTGAACCGCATGTACTGCTATTTCTTCTTACTTCATGTTATCAATTCTGGCAAAGAATTCTAAAAAATCCTTGGTAATTTCAAATGAAGAAAAATTAACTTAAATATGGTTAAAGGATTAACATTGTGCCTTCAAGAGGGCAGGGGCTGTGTCTGACTTGTCACTTCTCTGGGACTATGTCTGCCATCATATGCACTGAAAATCCATGTTTGTCAGAAGGGATGGAGCGAGAGAGGAGGAAGAAAAAAGAAAAATAAACCTGTTGAAAGTGGGTTACAGCTCTTGGAATGACCACTTCTCCAATAAAAATCAAATAAGGTTATAATAAATTACTTTATCTGGTCTTCAGTTATCTTATCTCTGCAATATAGTCAGTAACAGTAACTACCCCATAGGAGTGCTGTGAGAATTAACCATTGAACACATATAAAATGCTTAGGAGGGTAGCTGGTATATGATAAGCACCTAATTAATGTAGCCATTGCATTATTACTTCTAACATGAGGCAGGTTG